TCGCCACCCCCACCTTTCGTTGTTTACCCTGTGAACACTTATTAGGCTCACAAATATAAAGCTATTATAAAAATGAGAAAGTGCTACCACTGCCAAAAAAAAACCTGTCACCGCGCTAAATTATTATATAAATATAAGAGAAGTATGTCTGTAAAATATTCACTCAATGAACATCCCAAGGTGATGATTTGCCCAGGCTGTTTTTATTCCTGGGAGATCCATTATGCATTTCGGTATGCCACATGTCACGGTATGAATCAGACGCTTAATGCATCTGCGTTTTTAAAAGCAGAGGCCATTTTCCCAATAGAACCCGCTGTAAGGGAGGATAAAAAAAAAAAAAGCGTAGACATCCTGGCTTTTGTGGGCATAATTTAATGTCTTTCTTATCATCTCGGTGAATCACGCACCACGCCGCGCGTACTTATGCACAATATATTGCTTAAATCTATGCAAATATTTTTTACCGCGATCGTAGTATTTTTACATGGAAGGTCAGTGAAGTTTGAGAGGCATTGAAATATATTCCCTTTGTACTTATATTGTAGTGGTAATATTCAACATATGCACATAGATCTTAATATCCATCGATTTATGTTTTTCCCGCGGTATATATTGTTTTATGGGCGGTCGTTTGCATGCGGATTCCGACAAGAGCTGCCGATCCGCCTAGAATTATGCCATCCACTCTCTTATTACGAGGAGAGGAGCAAATATTTTTAATGCTTATTTTTGGCAATAAATGGTCAGGTCCACTCAATATCGCTCATAAATTAAGGGGGTTGTTGAAACGAAGAGCTCTAGGATTAATAGTATGGTTTATTCATGCAAAATATATATTTTTTTTTTTTTCTGGGCTGAGACTAGGCATAGATGGATGTATGAAATGGATCGTCCCCAGTTTTCTCCGGTGTCCAGTCAAGGCCAACCTGGTTTGTGGAAAAATGGCTTAGTGGTTGGCACATCTGGCTGCATTGGGGTCCCCCGTTCAAATCCTAGTCAGGACACTGTCTGCATGGAGTTTGCATGTTCTCCCAGGGCTTGGGTTTCCTCCCACACTCAAATAACATGCTGGTAGGTAGTGAACTCAGGTGTCCTCCGACCTCATCTGTAGCCGAACATGTACAATTTTTCACTCCATTGAGCTGCATGCCAGATCATTCCCACCTGCAGCCGTCCTCTTTGCTTCCATGAGCTGTGGGTAGGAACTTGGCTAGGGATGTGTTTGTAGGAATTGATCCAGAATTTATTCATGCATACTGGTCCAATTTAAACATACTGGACCACTTTTAACAACAGGGCCGGATCTACGGGGGTGCTGGGGTGGGCTGTGCCCCCCAGATTTTAGCTGTGTCCCCCAGGTCTCTAAAAATGCATGAGCCAGTCTGATGCAGAAAGGTAATGTAAGGGAGGCACTCTGATGGGGGGTATCTGGTCATATATAAGGGGACACTCTGTTGAGGACAATTGATATAAAGGGGCACTCTGATGGGGACACCTGATGAGAGGTGGCACTCTGATGGTAATAACTGGTCATATATAAGAGGGCACTTTGTTGAGGACAATTGATGTAAGGGGTGATGCTGATGGGAACACTGATGTAAAGAGGGATGCTGATGGGGACACTGATGTAAGGGGGGATGCTGATGGGGACACTAATGTAAAGGGGGATGCTGATGGGGACACTAATGTAAGGGGGGATGTGGATGGGGACACTGATATAAGGAGGCACTCAGATGTTAATAATTGATCATATATAAGAGGGAACTTTGTTGAGGACAATTGATGTAAGAGGGGATGCTGATGGGGACACTGATGTAAGGGGGATGCTGATGGGGACACTAATGTAAAGGGGGATGCTGATGGGGACACTGATGTAAGGGGGGTTGCTGATGGGGACACTGATGTAAGGGGGGATGCTGATGGGGACACTAATGTAAAGGGGGATGCTGATGGGGACACTGATGTAAGGGGTGATGCTGATGGGAACACTGATGTAAGGAGGGATGCTGATGGGGACACTGATGTAATGGGGATGCTGATGGGGACCCCAATGTAAAGGGGGATGCTGATGGGGACACTGATGTAAGGGGGGATGCTGATGGGGACACTGATATAAGGAGGCACTCAGATGTTAATAATTGATCATATATAAGAGGGAACTTTGTTGAGGACAATTGATGTAAAGGGGATGCTGATGGGGACACTGATGTAAAAAGGGATGCTGATGGGGACACTGATGTAAAGGAGGATGCTGATGGGGACACTGATATAAGGAGGCACTCAGATGTTAATAATTGATCATATATAAGAGGGAACTTTGTTGAGGACAATTGATGTAAGGGGGGATGCTGATGGGACACTGATGTAAGGGGTGATGCTGATGGGACACTGATGTAAGGGGTGATGCTGATGGGGACACTGATGTAAAGGGGGATGCTGATGGGGACACTGATGTAAGGGGTGATGCTGATGGGACACTGATGTAAGGGGTGATGCTGATGGGACACTGATGTAAGGGGTGATGCTGATGGGGACACTGATGTAAGGGGTGATGCTGATGGGGACACTGATATAAGGAGGCACTCAGATGGTAATAACTGATCATATATAAGAGGGCACTTTGTTGAGGACAATTGATGTAAGGGGTGATGCTGATGGGGACACTGATGTAAGGGGTGATGCTGATGGGGACACTGATGTAGGGGGTGATGCTGATGGGGACACTGATGTAAGGAGGCACTCAGATGGTAATAACTGATCATATATACTGTAAGAGGGCACTTTGCTGAGGACAATTAATGTAAGGGGGGATACTGATGAAAGGAGCACTCTGAAAAAAAACTGATGTAAAGGGGACCGTGATGAGGAATCCTGATTGTAAAGGGGGGCTCTGATAGGGACATCTGATATAAGGGGGCACAGGTTCTGTTTAATCATCCTAATCTAATAATAGCCTAATACATAATAACTGGCTAGATGGAGCCCTGTATAACAACTGTGCCAGGTGCTAATCCTCACATTGGTCCTGTGTCCCTCCCACAAGGCATTAACACAGGTGTTCCTCTTGCTTCTCAGGTATCTCTGATTATATGAACCCATCACTGAAATGGGTTAAACCATTAGCTGGTTGTTTGACAATTATGTGACAATTGAGTGTATTTAGACTCCCAATTCTTTAGAGGTCTCGCAGATTTTGGTGTGTGGTGTTTTATTGTATGAAAGTGGAGGAATGGACACAGACCCAATGACTTGGGGAATATTTTACTCACAATTCTTTTATAATACATTTGCATGTAGCGCTACCTCAAAGGGCCACTGGTATTTAACTGGTTCCTCTCCAACAAGCAAAGAGACTGTCCGTCCACACAAGCAACAGTCCTTCCACATTGGCTCTAATAGACAATCTAGGGCACATGTGTTAAACAGCCAGCCAGGCCATTTCATGTGGCTCTTGCACTTCCCTTGCAGCTGCTGCACCCCCTTCGTCTCAGCAGTCGGCAGCAGAGAGGACAGAACTCCTTCTACGGATCCAGCGCCTCTCTGTGCAGTCACAGCACCCCCTCGCCTCTGCCTCCCCTGTTCTCAGCATTCAGAAGACTCCAGCAGCTGACTCCAGCCCTCCTCTGGCCCTCCTTCAGATCCTGCACTTTCTGCTTCCCAGCTCCTCCTCCATCTTCTACCAGGCAGCACTGTAACATAAGGGAGGGTGGGGGACTCTTGACATTGGATGATAGGGGGGCTCTTGACATCTGATGTAAAGGGGGGGTAGTTTGCTCTGGACATCTAGTCTTGCAGATACAACCGGCTCTCTGAGGGCAACCATAATGCTGATGCAGCTCGTGATGAAATTTAGTTTGACACCCATGGTCTAGGAGATGTCTATTGGTATTTTATTGCTTGAAGAAACTTCAACAGGAGAGGGGAACATGGGCATGGGATACTTCAAAACTCTTGGTAGTCAATATGTATTGGACAATCTTCTTAGGAGTAGTAACTAGCGTTGGACAGTCCTAGGCCCCACAGCTGAAGACCATAGGGCAAGTCTTTGTGTTGGCATCTGGTTGACTTGTGCCAATGCAGAAGTTCTTGGCATCCAGTGCACCACCCAGTCACAGGGATAAGTTTAATGTCATCACTTACAGGTCCCTGGGGCAGCTTCCAGACACGATCCAGTGAGTGAGACAACACCTCTCAGGACCAGCTCCCCTGTGGTGCAGTTCTGTCATGCTCCAAACAAAGTCCAGCTCTTGCACTGATGAGTCTTCAAGAACAGCTGTTCAGTCTGCGGACAACCTGAGGGCAACAGCCCCTTTGGCTCTACAACCCTACTGAGAAGAAGAAACTCTGCTCTCCAGGGTCTTAGGCTATTTATCACCAATTCAGCCCCCTACTGGACACTCCTCTCCAGGGATTGACTAGAATCTGATAAATATGCAGGCTTGTTGTTTTGAATCTCCTACCCTAAGCTCCGGAAGCTTCTTCCAGAAACAAGGGGCAGCGATCAAACTCCAAAGCCTGTGAGACCCTGAACAGGCCAGAACAAACAGTCACTGCTCCCTTGATTACAGAAGGAGCCAAAGCTAAATGTACCCAGCATCCTACACTAGGAGGGCAATACATGCGGAAATGGACTTGCATGTGCTACATGTTTGTGATGGAGATGTGATGGAGTGATCAGAGTAAATACCGATGAATGGTAGCATTTGTTGCATTTGAGATCACAGCGCTACTTTATAGCTACACACTACCTACAAGTGAATAAATACTTTCCTGGTGCCCGTGACACCATACCAGTAATATTGACCTTGTGACACCCCTGCACCTCTCACTGGTTCCTCCCCCTGACTTCCCTTAATAACAGTATACAGCAGTGATGTGAAGTTAAAGTGTTACTAAACCCACAACAGTACAATCAGTCTGTAGATGCAGTAAAGCAGGCTTGTTATACTCACTGTGGGACCTAAGGGGTTAATCCTCTGCATTGTGTAAAAAGGCTGTTTGATCCTGTCTTCTCTAATCCTCCCCTTCTTCAGCTGTCCCTAATCCGTCTGCAGATAGTACAGAGCTCTAGGAGTCATGCTCAGTTTGGTGTGTAATACCAAAAAGTTTTTTTTACTTTGCGGAGGGTGCATGTGATTAACACAGGGCCAATCGGCACTGTCCAGACAGAGGGTCAGGGGCCATGCAGCCTCATAGGACAGTCAGAGCAGAATGAAAACTCCTCCTACAAGCTTTAACCAGTTCTCAGCTGGACACTGATAGAAATCACAAGACTGCTATATATTGCTGATGAGAAAAGGTATTTAGCAGTTTATATTTACTAAAATAATTTAATTTCCATGTTGTTTGTACTGTGTGAGACCAGGTATAGTGAATGCAGGGTCTGGGGAGACCAGATATAGTGAAGGCAGGGTCCGGGGAGACCGGATATAGTGAATGCGGGGTCCGGGGAGACCGGATATAGTGAATGGGGAGACAGGCAGGGTCGGGGAGAGCGGATATAGTGAATGCAGGATCCGGGGTGAGCGGATATAGTGAATGCGGGGTCCGGGGAGAGCGGATATAGTGAATGCGGGGTCCGGGGAGAGCGGATATAGTGAATGCGGGGTCCGTGGAGAGCAGATATAATGAATGCGGGGTCCGGGGAGAGCAGATATAGTGAATGCAGGGTCCGGGGAGAGCGGATATAGTGAATGCGGGGTCCGGGGAGAGCGGATATAGTGAATGCAGGGTCCGGGGAGAGCGGAGATAGTGAATGCGGGGTCCGGGGAGAGCGGATATAGTGAATGCGGGGTCCGGGGAGAGCGGATATAGTGAATGCTGGGAACGGGGAGAGCGGATATAGTGAATGCGGGGTCCGGGGAGAGCGGATATAGTAAATGCGGGGTCCGGGGAGAGCGGATATAGTGAATGCAGGGTCCAGGGAGAGCGGATATAGTGAATGCAGGGTCTGGGGAGACAGGATGTAGGGAATGCAGAGTCCAGGGGGAGTGAATATAGTGAATGCAGGGTCCGGGGAGAGCGGATATAGTGAATGCAGAGTCCGGGGAGAGCGGATATAGTGAATGCAGGGTCTGGGGAGACCAGATATAGTGAATGCAGAGTCCGGGGAGAGTGAATATAGTGAATGCGGGGTCTGGGGAGAGCAGATATAGTGAATGCGGGGTCTGGGGAGAGCAGATATAGTGAATGCAGAGTCCGGGGAGAGTGAATATAGTGAATGCGTGGTCCGGGGAGACCAGATATAGTGAATGCAGAGTCCGGGGAGAGTGAATATAGTGAATGCGGGGTCTGGGGAGACCAGATATAGTGAATGCGGGGTCTGGGGAGAGCAGATATAGTGAATGCAGAGTCCGGGGAGAGTGAATATAGTGAATGCGTGGTCCGGGAAGACCAGATATAGTGAATGCAGAGTCCGGGGAGAGTGAATATAGTGAATGCAGGGTCTGGGGAGACCAGATATAGTGAATGCAGGGTCCAGGGAGAGCGGATATAGTGAATGCAGGATCTGGGGAAAGCGGATATAGTGAATGCAGGGTCTGGGGAGGCCAGATATAGTGAATGCGGGGTCCAGGTTTTAGTGACACTTTAAGTAGGAGGAACCATCAAGAGAAACAGAGAGCCCACGAGATCGACACTCCCAGCATTGATGGTTTCCCGGTGGACTTAAGAGGAAGGCTGATACTGAACAGAACAGAACTGTGGTTGGTGAAGTATGCAGCAGGCGGTGTAACTATGTGAACTGTTCATTTACAGTTTGTGAAAACATAACTTTAATGACAGGGGCACTTTAAAGTGGACCTAAACTCCAAAACTGAAGATTTGCTATGTTATGAGAAACATCTAAAAATGTTAACTATGCCAAATAAATATCCATAAAATTCTACCTTTTGCCTTGAATTCTTCATGACAACACTTCCTGATATGTGACTGTGCCTAGGCACTTCTGTTCTGTATCTTCATAACTGTATATTTGCAGTGTGAGATCACATAAAGCACTTCTGCCTCTGACTGCTAGTCTCACCAGATTTGGAATGAGATTTGGTGATGTCACTCCTGTGCTGATCACTGTTCTCCTTGCTGGACAGGAGGCTGTACCTGAGGATCCACGGTGGAAGGATCTCCCTGCTTCTGCTGAATGAATTCTGTGGATTTGTGTTTCCTCTACCTCTCCTGCTGCTTCCTGAATACTCCTTCACCAGTCGTCAGATCACCAATCACTAAGGGGCAGATCAGACATGAGGAAGTAAAGCCCTGCTTCTTTACCTTCTTAAGTGCCTTGAGCCTTGCACCTGTATATCTGCAGTGTGAGATCATTAAAGGCTTTGCTGCCTCTGACTGCTAGTCTCACCAGCTTTGGCAATGTCACTAGTCTGATGCTCACATTTTTCCTTGCTGGAGAGGAAGCTGTACTGGGGTGTACTGCAGTGCAAGGATCACCATGCTTCTGATTCATTCAATCATTCTCTGGATCTTGGCTTTCTCCACTTATCCTGCTGAGTCTTAAAGTGGAAACAAACCCAATTATGTATCTTTTACCTACAAGTAATTCTTTAATAAAACGTACCTGTAGATACTGTAACTAACTCCTAAATATGCACCGCTTAGGAGATATTTACTGTAGAAGCGCCGGTGATCCATCCATTCAGAGAGTTGTGCCGCGGCCGAAACTCCTGCGTGCATGGAGTGCGTGGAGTGACAACATCATGTCTTGGCCAATCAGTTGGCCACAGCTTGCCAACCAGGAAGAAAGACCAAGTAAAGATGGAAGCCTCAGGGAGTCATGACAGTGCTCCACTGGGAGCTTCCTTTTCAGGTAAGTCTTTCAAAATGTGCAATGCATACTAGCACATTATGCTCTTAACTTGCAGGGAGAACATTTTTAGATTTTTTTTTTTAGCGGTTTGCTACCGCTTTAAATATTTCCCCACCAGTCATCAGATCCCCAAGCATCAGGAGGGGCAGCTCCGACATGAGGAAGTAAAGCCCTACGTCTACCAAAATGGCCACCTCCACAGAGAAACCGTGCAGACAGGGGCGGACTGACAACTCATGGGGCCCCTAGGCAATAGGGATCATGGGGCCCCTGTGTCCTTGCCCAAACCCAAAAAATTCCTATGAAAAAGGTACCAGGGGAATCTCACGGGGCCCCCTACTGACCCCGGGCCCTCGGGCAGTGCCCGAGTTTCCAAATGGTCAGTCCGCCCCTGCGTGCAGAACATGACTTGTAAATCACTAATGGGGAAAGATCAGCTGCAGGGAGACCTCAGGCAATACCGGTGACTAGACCTTTGCCCCGTGCTTGCTTTTTTTTGGGGGCACAGCACCCAGGGTTCAGTTCTTTTCCATCATGCCAAGAAAGTGTGCAAAGATGCAATTGGGGTGGAGTTCACCTTCAGACAAACAAGTAAGCATGGCATATTACGGACACGAACATCCTAGTTTGCAGTTGGAACAGACCGCTAAATGGAGGCAACATTTACATACAACAGACATACATTAGCAGCAAACGCCCATAAATCTAGTGGCTGTTAATCCGTTTATCTGCCTATTTAATTATTTGCCCTTCTATAAATCTTCCTGTTTGTCCATCTCTCCATCTATCTCTCCTAATAAAGTTAGTGCACCATACTACAGCACATCTCGAACATCCAGATTCTTCGTTAATGGAATTAATTTGCTGTGATGTCGCCCTGGCTCATTCCGAAGACACCCCCCCCCCCCCTTCCAACCAGCACCACCTACCCCCACCCCATATCTTCCTATATCTGTAACATTAAAGTCTTCATTTTCAAACTTTCCTAGTTAACATTACAAAAGGCGCCGAGTCCCAGGGTTCGAGTCTGTTCCCAGAAGTACTTAACTAATAGCCTAAAATCTGAAGAATCACTTTAATACTTCAATAGAAATAACCCAATTCAAAACATTTCCAAAGAAACAGGACTCCTTGCTCTAGGCTACCAAATAATGGCTGAAAGAAAGTATATCGCCTGTCACTTCTGATTAGAGGCTTGTGCCTCTGTGCCTTCAATGAGCGCCGAGCCTGGTAATAGGAACTGCAGATATTGAGTTGCTGAAATAATGTACAGTACGATATATATATGTATATAAATTTCATAAGCACGCAGTTAAATGGAAGCTACGGCGTGCCTTTAGTGAGTTATTGTTGTAACGGTTACTTGTGAGTAGTTTTATGATGTGACTTTCAGATTTCACCGTGATTGCTGTACCTATATTTACAAGACGTTGGTACCTTATCTATCGACTTCTGAAAATTGGCATGTTTGTTTTTGTCGTGGGAGGATTGGTGCTAAATTTTTCATCGCCCGTGTGTTTGGGCTCAGAACAACAGTACATGAATGAATTACCATCACCCACATGTATTTGGTAGGGATGCCACTTGAACAATAATTTGTTGCACATTTACTGCACTAAAGAAATAAATATGTCATACCTGAAATGCTAATACCAAGTTACTGGTTCTAAACTTCAACCTAACCCTGAACCCTAATACTATGGCTCACCCTACCCCCTAAACCCGAAACACTAATACCAAGTTACTTACTTTACTTCAAACTTTTAACCCCAATACTATGGCTCAAACCCGAAAACCCGAAACACTATACCAAGTTGCCTGCTTTAAACGTCGACCTATCCCTTAATCCCAATACTATGGCTCACCCTACCCCCTAAACCCGAAACACTAATACCAAGTTGCCTGCTTTAAACGTCGACCTATCCCTTAATCCCAATACTATGGCTCACCCTACCCCCTAAACCCGAAACACTAATACCAAGTTGCCTGCTTTAAACGTCGACCTATCCCTTAATCCCAATACTATGGCTCACCCTACTCCCTAAACGCTAATACTAAGTTTCTTACTTTAAACTTCGACCTATCCCTTAACCCCAATACTATGGCTCACCCTACCCCCCAAACCTGAAACACTAATACCAAGTTACCTGCTTTAAATTTCAACCTAACCTTAACCCCAATGCTATGGCTCACCCTACCCCTAAACCCAAAACACGAATACCAAGTTACTTACTTTAAACTTTGACCTAACCTTAACCCCAATACTATGGCTCACCCTACCCCCCAAACCTGAAACACGAATACCAAGTTACTTACTTTAAACTTCGACCTAACCCTGAACCCCAATACTATGGCTTACCCTACCCCCTAAACCCAAAACACTAATACCAAGTTACTTACTTTAAACTTCAGCCTAACCCTTAACCCCAATACTATGGCTCACCCTACCCCCCCCTAAACCTGAAACGCTAATACCAAGTTTCCTGCATTAACCTTCGACCTATCCCT